TCATTTTCCGAATCCTGATGGGGTTACCATCAATGATGATGATGATCAGTAAGTTATAATTGATCCTTTGTTTGACCTTGACATCTTTTCATCCTTTGTATGGGAATTATCAATTTTTCAGTATTTGGCTTAGATTTGACCGGTTTGAAAACATTTCTGAAATTTCAGAAATAAAACTTTCCTGGAGTCTTTAGCATAAGTTGTATGCTTGTTTTTTATTTCATAACAAAATTTGATTTTTTGGTAACAACTCTACAAATTGCTAAAGGAAACAATAATTGTTTGTAGTATCTGGAGTTTTCGGTAGCAAAGAGACCGCTCGGTCTTTGGTGTCACTTGGAGGTGGCATCTATGCTGGAGTCACAGTCTTCACTCTCACGCTGCAGTGGGGCATATGTCTAATTTTTGGCGCGAAATATTCGGGAAAAAAAATCAAAGCCTAATCTACCATATTGCCAGCGAGTCAAAGGAAAATTCAATGAATTAAAGGGTTTCCCCTTTCCCGTGAATTATTTTATCTTTGCAATTTGAATATATAAGAACTGACAATTCTTCTTGACTTCAGATACTGGTGTTACCCTTCAAAAAGATACTCGCCGTCTAGCTGGAATTATGCTTCTTTCTTTGATTCCTTATATTATTGTGCTACTAGTTGATATACATAACACATCCCACATAGTGCTTTTGATCGCGTTAATAGTGTCTGCTGCATCTTTACTTTCATATTTTATCAATCAGGTATTATGGTTAAAAGCTAACCCTGTATTACTCACGATTTAATGGACAATATTGCTAATTTTCGATTCTCTTTTTTCAGATTGTGGATCCTTGGATGCAGATATTAAGTTCAAACTACTTACAGTATGAGATTCTAAGAAACGCATTTTTGCAACACGTGGAAAGATGGGGAAAACTTGTTGATGATGATGGGAATCCGAACTCTGCTCTCATCAAAATGTAATTTTTATAAATATTACATATACATTTGCTAATTGTGTCCAATGAAGGGTCTAATTTTATATTTGTCTTTGCAGTGTATTTGATGAAACAGATAAAGATGGAGACGAATATATAACAAAGTTTGAATAGGAAAAGTTGTTCAATAAAATCCTGCCAGAGTTGTCCGATGATGCCATAAAAAAGGCCGTTGATGACATAATGGAAGCATTTGATTCCGATAATGACAATAAAATCAATGAATCAGAATTCGCTGAAGCATGCGTGAAGTTAGCTGAAAAGAATGATTTCATTTCAAGAGAACTTTCAGAGAAGGCAAGCTACCTAATTCATGCAAATTTTAAAACTACTGATACTAATGGAAGTTTTATTTGCAAGATGTTGCTTCTATAAACGTATTCAGACTCCTATCATATATTTCTAACTTCTTTTTCTAATATAGGGTGAAACAAAAATATCCGAACTTCCAATCAAGTGTAATATGCATCAATAGTAGTATTTGAAATTAATTATGAACATTTACCTTTTTTGGGTTGATCTGTTGCAGGACATTCCACAGTTTAGTCCTATAGAAATTGATCAAATAATGTAAAAAATTCTAAAGCACGCTGAAAGCCAACTACTTAATGGAGAATCGCTAATCATGGAAGATGGAAAACCGAACACTGAGAGAATTAACAAGTAATTTATCATAATTTATGTGTTTGTTTTCTCGGTTTGACAGAAATTCCTCACAATCTTCTTTTTGTTCTGGCAGGATCTTCTGACAGTACGACAATAACAATAACAATAACAAGAAGATATCAAGAAATGAATTAGAGCAAAAAATTAGTACAGTCGAATTTGGAAACTTGAAGCCAAAATCTGAGGATGTGGTAAATAAGATTTTTTACCATTTTGATATAGATCGTAATAATACGATTGATAAAGAAGAATTTTTCCATGGACTAGAAAGATGGCTCAATGAAGCCATTCTTGTTGCTAAATGCCCTGATAAGACTAAAGTGTGGATGAATTTGACAAGGTAAGTAGTAAATTATCTAAATTTCTACAGAAGGCTTTTGTTGCTCTTTGTACAATTTACTGATCTCATTGCAAATTAAGTAATCCATTTTTTCTTTCTCCTTCCTTAACTTGCAGATTGTATGGGCAAAAGTCGACGTTCCTGGATACTCTTTCCTGGATTTTGTAAAATGTGAAGAAAAGCAACTTGGACAAAAAAAAGTGACTTGGACAAAAAGAAACAAAGTGACTTAGACAAATCTTTTTTGTCATTCAGAATAGTGTTGGGTATTGCTATATTGACCTTCATTGGAGGACCTCTCACGACTAGTATGCTACAGCTATCATATGCCATGAATGTGCCTTCTTTCTCCATCTCATTTGTGATAGTGCCATTGACAATGAATACAAGTACCTTAATAGAAGCTATCATTCTGGTCAATAAAAAGACAGACACAACGGCATCTTTAACATTCTCTGAGGTCCCTTTCTCTCTCACACATAAACACAAGCACTCAAGCGTGTGTGCACGTACATAATATAATAGAGCATTAACAAATAATTATGAAGGACTTGTTGGTGAAACATTTTTCATTTGACTTGCAGATTTATAGTGGAGTTGTAATGAATAACATCTCGGGTTGGACAACACTCTTAGCAGTTTTGTATGCAAAAGACTTACCATGGGATTATTCAGCAGAAGTGCTAACTATTTTGGTTGTCTGTACTGTAGTAGGGATTTTGGGAGTCTCACGTAACAAATATCTTTTCTGGATCCATTCTCCTTGGCGTTATATTGTTTTGTTGAACTCGACCTTCATTGGAATTAACCCGATCATGTTTCTCGGGTTTTTTTTACTCTTTTCCATTAAAATAAACTTCTTGTGATATCTTATTAGGAATGTAATAAAAGGGCTATTATTGCCTACAAGCATCACAAGCATCATGTTGCGTTCATAACTATTGTAAGTTTCAAATTATTTATTCAAATCCAATGTGCAGAATTACACAATTAAAAGTAACAAGTCATTTGTTATTGTTCCAAGATGATTAAATAAATTCAATTTAACTCTATGTTTGAACAATCACTATAGATCGAAAGCAGTGCACCAATTATGATTATGAAGAAAAATCGTTTTGCAAAAGTATAAAAAAGCTCCAAGCGACCAGTAACAATCTACTAGAAAAGTTAACTTATAACTAGTCCGGACACTGCTCAACTTTAGCTGACTCTAATCATATAACTTGTAAATCACTAAAAGAGCTATGTCAGTTGTGCACGCCTACACTTCCCAAAACTTTGGGCGATTTTTATCTCCTATGGATCTTTGAGAACGAACCTCATTCTTCAACACTGGAACTCCAAGCGCCTTTTCCTCAAACTCCAGAACTCTGAAGGCAAATTGGTGAAGGTAGGATTAGGTTTTGATGTTTGATCAAAGATCTTAATGTGTTTTGATCTTGGGTTAAATGTGTAAAGCTATAGCTGAATCAACCAAACTATGTGTTAGATTAATTTGTGAATAATTTATGAGGGGTTGAATGAAAAGAACTTCAGATGTGTTGTTTTATCTTCAGTAGTGTGCTCTTTATAATGAAAGAATGATTCAACACAACTTTGGGACGATAGGCTTGGGTATATATGATATGAAGTGCTTAGGAGTGAATAGAATAAGAAAACAAGCTATTTAATCAAGACAAAATTTACCCAAATATATAAGATGCTCCAACATTAGGCTAGCGCTAGGCTAGCATTAGGGTTCTGTTTCAATTTGCGTTATGTTGTGTCGCTCAAGTGGGAAAGCCACCGGTTTGCTCAAAAGTAAGAGATTGCCCAAAGAACTTTGAGCTGAAGTTGTTAATTGCGCTGTGTATCTGTCTAAACAATCACCTTCTAGAAGTGTGTGGAATAAGACACCACAAGAAGCATGGAGTGGAAGAAAGCTCAGCATTTCTCACTTACGAGTATTTGGGAGCGTTGCATATGCTCATGTGCCAGATCAAAAACGATCCAAGCTAGATGACAGGAGTGAAAGGTATGTTTTTATCGGCTATGACTCTCGCTCTAAAGGCTTCAAGTCGTATAATCCAAGCAATGAGAAGATCACCATAAGTAGAGATGTCGAGTTTGATGAAGAAGGAGCTTGGGATTGGGGTGTCCAAGAAGAAGACTATGACTTCTTACCATTTTTTGATGAAGAAGAACAAGAGAATGGAGAGCAGCATGAGATTATTAGTCCACCTCTATCACCTACTCATGGAGATGCTTCTCCATCATCTTCACAAGGCGAAAGCTCAAGCGAAAGGACACGACGGATGAGGAGCCTACAAGAGCTATATGAGGTAACCGAAAATCAAAATGATCTCACGCTTTTTTGTCTTTTTGTCGATTGTGAACCAATAGGGTATGAAGAAGCGGTACAAAATAAAAGATGGAGAGATGTCATGGATGAAAAGATTAAGGCTATTGTGAAAAATAACACATGGGAGATGACAACTCTTCGCAAAGAAAAGAGAGCAATCGGAGTTAAGTGGGTGTACAAGGCAAAGAAGAACGCTAAAGGAGACGTAGAAAGATACAAAGCAAGATTGGTTGTCAAAGGCTACAACCAACGGTCGGGAATCAATTATGAAGAGGTATTTGCTCCTGTTGCTCGTTTAGAAAATATAAGATTAATTATCTCTTTTGCAGCGCAAAATAAGTGGAAGATAAGCCAAATGGACGTGAAATCAGCATTTCTAAATGGCTATCTCGAAGAAGAAATTTATGTGGAGCAACCAATGGGCTATAAAATAAAAGGACATGAAGGTAAAATCCTGAAACTAAAAAATGCTTTATATGGGTTGAAACAGGCTTCAAGGGCATGGAATAGTAGAATTGACAAGTATTTTTAGAAAATGACTTTACAAAATGCCCTCACGAGTATGCCCTTTATATAAAGGTAAATGAGAAATGAGATATTTTGCTTGTTTGTTTATATGTAGATGATCTTATATTCACAGGAAATAATCAAAGTATGATCACTGAGTTTAAGAAGGTCATGGCTCAAGAATTTGAGATGGCGGATATCGGCATCATGGCCTACTATCTTGGGATAGAGGTAAAGCAAATGGAGGACTGCATTTTCATCTCACAAGAAGGATATGCAAAAGAGATTCTAAAGAAATTCAATATGGAGGGCTGCAAGCCCGTATGCACCCCCGTCAAATGCGGAATCAAGTTGTCGAAGAATGATGAAGGTGAAAAATTAAATCCAACACTTTTTAAGAGTCTTGTTGAAAGTCTAAGATATTTGACGTGCACAAGACCAGATATCCTTTTTGGAGTTGGGCTCATTAGTCGCTATATAGAGAAACCTACCATGACCCATATGAAAATTGCAAAGAGAATTCTTCACTACATCAAAGGTACGCTTGATTATGGCTTAGTCTATTCATCATCTAATGAGTTCAAACTTGTTGGATATAGTGACAGTGATTGGGGCGGAGATAGTGATGATAAAAAGAGTACGACTGGGTATGTATTTTACTTGGGTAACACAGCTTTCACTTGGAGCTCTAAGAAGCAATCGATCGTAACACTATCTACATGTGAAGCTGAATATGTTGTAGCTACATCAAGTATCTGCCATGCGATTTGGCTTAGAAACTTGTTGAAGACGCTTGGAGTATCACAAGAAGAGCCAATCGAAATCCATGTTGATAAC